CCGCGGACTCCCAGAACCAGGGGGAAAAGCCCCCGGCGCCCCCCTTCCCGGCCCCCCCAGCTACAAGGGATGCCGGCCGGGGGCCCCGGCCCGAAGCCTCCCACAATCCGCCTTCCCGAGGGGGGCGGGCCTTTGGACTCGGCCGCAGGGGGTCGCCTGGGGGGTCCGGCCCCGGAGCCAAAAGGGGGGCTGGAGCTCCATGGGAGGCACCGTCTGAGCGCGGGTCGGGGTGGGGTGCGGTGGGGTGGGGGCGCCCCCGGCCACTCGGAGCCGCGGATGGGGGACCGGGCATCTTGGATGGCATGCGGGGCCGGGTTTAGGGGAGGAAAGTCCCCTGTTCTTCCCCACCTTCAACCCCCGTTCAAGGGGCAGAAGAGTGGGGCTTCGCGGGGGTGCGAAAGATGTGGGCCCCCTTCTGCTCCCGCCCTCGGGGGAAGCCCCCACTCGTTCAAAATTCCTCAGCCTCCCCCCCTTTTTTCCCTTCCACCCCCCGCTGGTCCCCTTCCCGGCTTCCGCCAGCCTCTGCTCAGCGCGGGGGAGCGCAGGGCCAGAGGGGGCGGCCGGCGAGGACAGGCTGAGCCCCCTCCAGCTGGCGGGCGGGGGAAACCAGTGGCCAAAGGCGCCTCTGGCCACCGTGGGCCTCGGGGGTGGAGGGAGAGGCTGGGAACTTTGGGTGCAGCTCCCTGGGAGGCAGCCCCCCACCCACCAACGGGAGCTTTAGCCACGGGGACCCGACCTCCGCCGGACACTGCTGGACCAGGGGGCCCAGGCTCTGGGAGGGAGCAGAGAGGTTTCTCCCCGGCACCCTGAAAGCAAGGTGATTCCTAGCCTCCTGGTTTCCCACCAACACTCCGAAGTCCGGGAATCCACTAGTTACAGAAGCTCAGGCCACCGACACCTCCCGGTGCCCCAGTCCCCATCTGTTAAGTGGACATCACACACAGCCTCACAGGACTGGCAGGGTCTGTCTGACACAGGGTAGGCCTCAATGGAAGTGTTTAATTCCATGAATAAATGAAGAGGCCGAGGAGGGGTTGGTCTCAGCCAAGGAGAAAGACATGGGTATTAGAAGCAAGAGCAGACGGCTGTGCTGGTGGGAATGCAGACTGGTGCAGCCACTATGGGAAACAGTATGGAGTTTCCTCAAAAAATTAAAAATCAAACTGACCCAGTGATCCCACTTCTAGGAATGTATCCTAAGAATACGGAAACACCAATAAGAAAGAATATATATACCCCTGTGTTCAAAGCAGCACTATTTACAATAGCTAAAATCTGGAAACAGCCCAAGTGCCCATCAGTAGATGAGTGGATTAAAAAAACCGTGGTATATTTACACCATGGAATACTATGCAGCTGTAAAAAAGAAGGATCTTTCACCCTTTGAGACAGCATGGAGGGACCTGGAGAGCATTATGCTAAGTGAAATAAGCCAGTCAGAGAAAGACAAGTATCACATGATCTCACTCATATGTGGAATCTAATGAACAAAATAAACCGCCAAACAAAATGGATCCAGAGGCATGGAAGCATGGCACAAACTGATGGATCTCAGAGGGAAGGGGGTGGGAGGTTGGGCAGAGAATAACCAAAGAATTTATATGCACACTAGAGGCCCAATGCACAAAATTCGTGTAGGGGAGGGGGTCCCCTCAGCCCAGCCTGAGCCCTCTTGCAACCCCTCGCTCCTAACTGCCCACCTGCTCGCTCCTTACCACTTGGCTCACTGCTCCTTAGCACTGCCACAGAGGCAGGAGAGGCTCCCGCCACCACTGCTGTGCTTGCCAGCCGTGAGCCCGGCTTCTGGCTGAGTGGCGCTCCAGCTGTGGGAGCGCACTGACCATCAGGGGGCAGCTCCTGCATTGAGCATTCTGGTCATTCTGCCTTAAGGGTTGCTGGGCTTTTATTATATAGACTAGAGGCCCAGTGCATGAAAATTCGTGCACTCAGGACGGGGTCCCTCAGCCCAGCCTGCACCCTCTCACAGTCCTGGAGCCCTCAGGGGAATGACCAACTGATGGCATCCTCTGCAGGAGGCAACCAGGCAGGCTGATCAGGGGGACGGCGCCGGCTGGCAAGGGGCAGCGCGTGCTCCCTCCCCCCGATCCCCTCTCCACAGTGTGCGGTCACGCCAGGACGGGTCGGCGCGGCGGGCGGTCCACCGGTAGGGAGTACGGTTGAGGCGGGAGCCGACACAGAGGCCCGCCGCACGAGCCCCGTGACCGACCCCCAGGAAGTGTTTTTTTTTTTTTATGATGATGTGTA